CGGAACACTGGACCAGCTCTATACTCTCCATCGGATACTCGAGGGTTCATGGGAGTTCGCCCAACCTGTCCACATGTGCTTTGTGGATTTGGAGAAGGCGTTCGACTGTGTTCCCCGGGGTGTCCTTTGGGGGGTTCTCCGGGAGTACGGGGTCGGAGGTCCTCTGCTGAGGGCCATCCAATCCCTGTATGACCGGAGCCAGAGCTGTGTTCGCATTGCCGACAGTAAGTCAGACCTGTTCCCGGTGAATGTTGGCCTCCGACAGGGCTGCCCTTTGTCACCGGTTCTGTTCACTGTATTTATGGACAGAATATCTAGGCGCAGCCAGGGGTCGGAGGGGGTCCGGTTCGGAGATCACAGGATTTCATCTCTGCTGTTTGCGGACGATGTTGTCCTGTTGGCTCCAACGAACCAGGACCTGCAGCATGCACTGGGACGGTTTGCAGCAGAGTGTGAAGCGGCTGGGATGAGAATCAGCACCTCCAAATCCGAGGCCATGGTGCTCGACCGGAAAAAGGTGCCTTGCCCTCTGCAGGTGGGTGGAGAGGTCCTTCCTCAAGTGGAGGAGTTCAAGTATCTCGGGGTCTTGCTCACGAGTGAGGGAAGAATGGAGCGTGAGATTGACAGGCGGATCGGTGCAGCGTGCGCAGTGATGCGGTCGCTGTATCGGACCGTTGTGGTAAAGAGGGAGCTGAGCCGAAAGGCAAAGCTCTCGATTTACCGGTCAATCTTTGTTCCCTCCCTCACCTATGGTCATGAGCTTTGGGTAATGACCGAAAGAACGAGATCGCGGATACAAGCGGTCGAAATGAGCTTCCTCCGCAGAGTGGCTGGGCGCTCCCTTAGAGATAGGGTGAGGAGCTCAGTCACACGGGAGGAGCTCGGAGTAGAGCCGCTGCTTCTCCACGTCGAGAGGAACCAGTTGAGGTGGCTCGGGCATCTGTTCCGGATGCCTCCTGGACGCCTCCCTGGGAAGGTGTTCCGGGCACGTCCCACCGGGAGGAGGCCCCGCGGAAGACCTAGGACACGCTGGAGGGACTATGTCTCTCAGCTGGCCTGGGAACGCCTTGGGGTCCCCCCGGACGAGCTGGAGGAAGTGTGTGTGGATAGGGAAGTCTGGGCGTCTCTGCTTAGACTGCTGCCCCCGCGACCCGGCAACGGATAAAGCGGAAGAAAATGGATGGATGGATGGATGGATGAATGTCCTTAATGGCCTTTTCTTTCACCGTCTTTGCGAAGGTTTTTGAAGTCTGAAAATAGGTGCTCTGACTTTATGATGAATGAATCTTTCAGTGAACGGTGTTTAAAGCTTCATTGTTCCTCGTGTTGCAACAAAACTTTTCATTACATCTCAAACATGAAGCAGTCCTTCCTCATTGACTGAAAGCAAATGTTCATTCTCACTCCAGTCTTATCATCGACTCTTCCTTTCTTTATCTTTCCGCGTCACAGGATATGACGCACTACGTGGACAGAAATGCTAAAATTGAATATTACTTATACAAGTTTTTGCAGCATTGAAAAACGTTAAGAATGTTGTTCCTCCTACAGAAACCACATTCAAACTAGAAATAAAATATAGCCCTCCCACTCCATTTTCAGACATTTTTTTTAAAGGCTCCAGGAGCCACTTTAGGGGCACTAAAGGTTGCCGGCCCCTGGTGTATACAGTATATGCAAGCAAGTACTGTAGAGATCAGGATGTCTGCAGTTTCAACAATAAAATAAAGTACAATAGTCTACATTAAACAGAGTAATAAACATGTCTCAGAGTGAGGGAGGTGGACACAGACAATACTATTGTTTGTTACAGGGATGAGAATTGGTCAAAAATATCTGAAATGCATATTGTCAGCCATTTGCTGGCTCTAAATCTGTTTAATCTGTTCACAACATTTTACTTTTGGGCTCAAACGTGAACTTTTAATGCAATGGAAAATTTAGGTACCCGAGCTTTAATTTAGAGGAGAGGGGAGACGCGGACTGTTTTCTGCAGCTATTTATTGGGTGCACAAATTACGCAAAGACATGCATGGTCCTGTGCGCGTTTATGGTCTTGGGTACATGGTCACGTTGCGGCTACGCGCTCAACGTGTTGTGTTGTGAGCGGTTCCTGGTGAGCGGTTCCTGCATCCAGCTCAGAGCCGCTGGATGCGGGAACACTGCGGCCGCTGAGGTGGTGGAATCCCATTCGAGTACATACAGCAGGTGCCCTGCGGACACGCGCGCCCCCTCGAACATTTCTCAACGGATTTACACTTTTCACAAACATATTTTTTGTATGAGGCAGACAGACCGGCCCAAATATGGGCATCGGCCCTTCGGGCATTGCCCGGTACGCCCGATGGCTAGTCCAGCCCTGGTTCAGGGTGATGAGCTGTGTTGCTTTTTTACACCAAACATATCGTTTTGCATTGTGGCCAAAAAGTTCGATTTTGGTTTCATCTGACCAGGGCACCTTCTTCCACATGTTTGGTGTGTCTCCCAGGTGGCTTGTGGCAAACTTTAAACCAGACTTTTTATGGATATCTTTGAGAAATGGCTTTCTTCTTGCCACTCTTCCATAAAGGCCAGATTTGTGCAGTGCACGACTGATTGTTGTCCTATGGACAGACTCTCCCACCTCAGCTGTAGTTATCTGCAGTTCATCCAGAGTGATCATGGGCCTCTTGTCTGCATCTCTGATCAGTCTTCTCCTGGTTTGAGAGTAAAGTTTGGAGAGACGGCCGGGTCTTGGTAGATTTGCAGTGGTCTGATACTCCTTCCATTTCAATATAATTGCTTGCACAGTGCTCCTTGAGATGTTTAAAGCTTGGGAAATCTTTTTGTATCCAAATCCGGCTTTAAACTTCTCCACAACAGTATCTCAGACCTGCCTGGTGTGTTCCTTTGTCTTCATGGTTTTCTCTGCGCTTTAAACAGAACCCTGAGACTATCAAAGAGCAGGTGCATTTATACGGAGACTTGATTACACACAGGTGCATTCTATTTATCATCATCAGTCATTTAGGACAACATTGGATCATTCAAAGATCCTCACTGAACTTCTGGAGTGAGTTTGTTGCACTGAAAGTAAAGGGGCCGAATAATATTGCAGGCCCCACTTTTCAATGTTTTATTTATTAAAAAAAGTTTAAATTATCCAATAAATTTCGTTCCACTTCACGATTCTGCCCCACTTGTTGATTCATGACAAAAAATTTAAATTTTATATCTTTATGTTTGAAGCCTGAAATGTGGCGAAATGTTGAAAGGTTCAAAGGGGGGCTGTATCTATGCTGGACCATGACTCTCACCCCCTGTAGAACACTCTGTCTGCTCTAGAGAGCAGCTTCAGTGACAGACTCGTTCACCCTGCTGTGTGAAGGAGAGGTCCCGCAGGCCTCTCCTTTCTGCTGCTGTCAGGCTGCACAATGAGAATTGCTGTGCCTGAACATGTTCAGGCACAGCAGTTAGATTTACATCTGTAAATACTGCAATCATGTGCAATGTTCAATACTTCACCTTCAGAATGCCCACTGAATGTCACTTTATCTACTTTTATCTAGCTGTAAATGTTGATATTGAAGTATTTACAGCTAGCTAGGAAACATAGCAGCTATACTTAGTGTGCTTCCTGTGTGCTCTTACTACTGTCCTGTATGTGCGCCGATTGTAATTTCCCCACAAGGTACGATGAAAGGATCTCTTATCGTACCTTTTTCTGTGCAGGCCTCAGAGGAGGAGGGTTTGGGGGTAGGAGGGGGGGGATAGGAGGAGGTGGGAATTTTAATTTGAGTGTTTGCAATGATGATGTTGCACAGGTGCTCTGAGCGATAATTACATTAGTGTAATTATCGCTCAAACCTGTTAATTTGAGCCTAAATGTCCTGTTCTCAGCTCCTGTCATGTTTTTATGTCTCACACTTGAGTCTTGTACCTGATTCTTGTAAATAAGTAAGACATTTATTTTTAAAATGTATTTTCTTTATTTATATGGTGTCACAATGCACTTTACAATTGTTGTGTGTATTTGTCTCTCACTCCACACAGAGATAGGAGCAGGTTCGCAAACAGGAGGCGTATGCCAGACCTATCGTACATGTTTTAGCGGTAGGGGAAACCGGTAGCCTGACTCTCGCCAGACCGTTGTAGATCGCTGCGCTTCTCACATGGTTCTGGATCTGAGCCATAGCGGTTGGATTTCAGAAGGCGGATAAACCACTTAGTCAGTTATCTTGAATGACGTGTTCCTTCAACCACTCACATCGAAGCACACAACTCCCATGGGTTGCCAAATGCCGGCAAGATTCACGAGAATGCCCCAAAAATCTTTTTTTTAGCTAAAAACGTAATGTAATCAACTTGGGCTATCATGATTCTGTTTATGGTCTTTCTGTTTATTTATTACCTTCAAGTCTCTTGGAAAAAAGTATGCAGGAAACCACCCAACCTGGCAACCCTGCTGCATAGTGTTGTAAACTTAAAACCAGTGCTTAAACCAAACTTTACACGAACGTCTGACTCTTTAAACACACATATAACAACATGGAACCATCAACATCTTGCCTCATATTGCATTAAAAGTGACATCCGTGTCTTAATTAGTTCATATTTCAACTTTTTTGTTAGATTCACGGATTTCATGTCCGCCATCTCGGATTGTTTTCGCTGCCACGTGAGACACACTTGAGAAGGCGGTGCAAACCCAACATAACACCGGCGATCCTGATTGGTCAATTTTTTTCTGATCTGCTGAAGGAGTTTGCTATGCGCTCGATACCAGACCCTTGTGCGTGAAGCGGAACGCCTCTGGTGGAGCATGGCGGAACTACAAGGGTCTGGTGAGAGCCAGGCTAGGACACCGGAGCATTCTGAGGAAACACAAGGCGAAAATGCAAAATCCAAGGCTTGGAGGTGGAATCAAGCACCTTAATGCATCCCACTGTGCCACGCCCGAGTCTTATAACAGAGTCTTATACCTGAGTCTCGGACTTAAGTCTCGTACCAGAGTCTTGTACCTGAGTCAACGCCCACGATAAGGCGTCCAATGATCAACATCTCGAAGGATCTGGAGGTTTGTCCCAGAGACAGAAGCAGCGCAGCCACCAGAGCAAACAGGTTATTCAGCAGCAGAGTGCCCCTCCTGAAACAAGAGACACCAGAGAGAGACCAGAAAGAGACCAGAAAGAGACCAGAGAGATTATTAAGAGAGACGAGACCAGAGTGACCAGCAGGAGACCAGAGAGACCCGACAGAGACCAGAGAGAGACCAGAGACAGAACAAGGAGAGACCAGAGATACTGTTATTTTTACCTCTGCATATGTTGTCACTATTTTCCTTTCTTGGACAAAGGTGTGAATTTACAACGGTCTCAGTCCACAGTCGAAATAACACCCCCCCGCCACTGACAAACACACACACAGAGCGAGAGACACCGCCCCACCCCCCACACACACGCATGCACGCACACGCGCGCACACACACACACCCCCACCTGCCCAGGACTTTGATGATCAGAGACACCGACAGCGCCCCCACCAGGCCGCCGATGGAGAAGATGGAGACAGTGATGGACCAAAGCAACGTCAGCGTCTCCGCAGCGATTGGCTCTGAGTACCGCTCCACCCACGTACGGTTGTAGAATGCCTTAATGAACTGACACACATATACACACAAGAGACTATAAACAGATTGACAATGCTAATACGGACAGTATACAGCAGGACAATGCTAACCCGCTAACTCAATGAAGCCCAATAGGGAGGTGCTTACGAAGTTTTGATCCAACTCACTTTGGCTCCTATTGACTGACATGTAAAAGTAAACTCCTCTAGCTCAGTAACCGTTGTGTCGTACTCCACATTTTGGGTTTAAATCTGTAGTTAAGCGCTCTCTGTGATCCTAGTGTATATATTGTAATTTTTTTTGTAAATCCAAGTATGAGCCATATAAGGATTGACCAATCAGATGCCTTCATTCAGGAAAAACACCAGCTTGCCTTAACAACCATCTTAGCAACATGCCCCTGTTACAGCAATAGCAGTAGTAATAGCAGGAATAGCAGTATAGTACATGTGTAGTGCCTCACCTTTGCTGGAGCGTTGACCACAGATAGATTGTAGCCATATAGGAAAGAGGATCCCAGAGCGCTGAAGAAGGCGGCGCTGAGGAGGCAGGGAGTGAGCGCCCCCTGTGGACAGAGGGGAGCATAGCGTAAAGCTAAGGTACGTAACTTTCACATCAACAACATGTAGTTTCTCAGAGAGAAGTTATAGTAAACAAATCAGACACAATAGGCTGTCTTCATCTTATCGTGTAAGAAAAAGCCTTGTGAGTCACTATTTGACTCTTCGGACTGAGAGCTGATTGGCTGATCTAAAAATGTGACAGAGGCCAAACACAGTAGTAGTCTGAAATATGATGTACCCCAGCTTTAAATAAAAATAAGTTATTCCAAACACTGGTAATACATTTAAGTTACTAAGTACTAAGCAAAAAGGTACTGTAACGCAAATACAAGCAGTGGTGTACAGTTACAGCTACCTATAGACTATGTTACCGGCAGTGTTGTCTGACTACTTGTTTCAGTAACGACTAATCTAACGCGTTACTATTTCCAAACCAGTAGTCAGATTAAAGTTACTTCTCCAAATCTCTGCGCGTTACTATTTTGTCATTAGTGAAAACATATTTGGCTGCTCTTGCGTCGCAAAGAGTGACGAAACGTGCGCGCGACAAGTCACAATTCACGTGGGAACTACGCGAACTACGGTACAAACAAACAACAATGGAGGAAGGAGAAAAGTGTACGTTCTCTCGCTGGAAATTCTCACTATTTTCAGTTTGTGTCAGCTAAAGATGACAATATTAGGGTTCGCTGTACACTCTGTGCTGGTAACAAAGTGTTATTGAGCTTCAAAAACACGACTTCAAATTTGAAGAAACATTTGGACTCGCAACACGGTACTGTTAAACTAAAGGAGAACCAGACGGCAGCGCCAAAGGCTATGGCAAGAGGTCCCCCACCATGCAAACAACAAAAGCTGGACTTCAGTGCAGTAAGTGGGGGAGAGCTGAAGAAGTTGGTTGGGCACTATATTGTAGAGGAAATGCTGCCCTTAAACACGGTTGACTCGCCCTCGTTTCGTGCCTTAATAAACAAAATCCCTGCTGCTATCAATGCCGAGCTTCCTCACAGAACGTGTTTTTCGTCTTACCTGGAGAAGGAGTACGCAGAGATGGAAAGAAACCTGAAGGCCGCGCTGAGTAACGTCGACTTTGTGTCAACTACTGCGGATATTTGGACTGCTAACAACAGAAGCTACATGGGAGTAACGATCCACTGGATCAGTAGATCCACATTAGAGCGCAACAAGGCTGCGTTAGCATGTAAGAGAATTCGCGGTAGACACACATATGATGCTATTGGTGCAGAAATCGAAAATATTCACTCATCGTTTGGACTACTCAACAAAGTAGTGGCAACAGTCACTGATAATGGATCAAACTTTGTGAAGGCATTTAAAGTTTATCAGCGTGTCTTAGAGTCCGATGATGAGTCGGGTGAAGAAGAGTCCACTACTACAGACGAGGATGTCACTTTTTCAGATGTATCAGACATTTTCTCAGCTGGGAATGGAGGTGAGCTGTTTCTTCCTCCACATCACAGGTGTGCTTCACACACAATAAACTTAATTTCCACAAGTAACCAATGCAGAAAGCAATCCTGTGTACAGGAGCAGCACAGCAAAATGTTCAGCACTTTGGACAAAATCAAGTAGATCTACCCTTGCATCAGAAATAGTGGAGGAAGTAAGCAAAAGAAAGCTCCTGGTGCAAATATCCACACCGTGGAATTCCTTTTTTGATGCTGTGAAGAGAATTTCAGAAATACCCATGAGTGAGCTCAATACTCTGTGCACCAAGCTGGGAGTTAAAAGCTAAAGACAAAGAGTACCGATTCCTTCATGAGTACTGTACTGCCACAAAACCTCTGTCTGTAGCACTGGACATTTTGCAAGGCGACTGTCCTTATGGGACTTTACTGCCCACACTTGAAGTTCTGATGCAGAAGACCCTGGCTGAAAGATGACCTCTCCAGGATGACTGCAGGCATTCCAGATGCCATAGTGCAGGTATGTTCCATCTTTAAGCACGTTTTCTTCCATCTTCTTAATTTCTTACACTAGTCATGAACATTTAACAGAGTAGTAATTTTCATTGTAAAAGAAGATTAAAACAAAATACATGTCAGCAATTAACCTAAAACATAATTAAATGTATATTATTGATCTCACATTAGGCAGAACTTCTAATTAGTGGGCCTTGTAGGCATAAACATACATTTTTAACTTTTTTTTTTTTTTCAGGCTATACAGACTCGTTTTGCTGATGTGCTAGACGACAAAGATGCTCTTCTTGCAGCGGCCAGTTGTGCAAAATTCAAACTTCGATGGTTGAGAGATGCAGGTAGGAGAGAGCAAGTTAAAGAGCTTCTGACAGCAGAGTGCCGCATCACTTCGCCTGCAGCACGGAGCCCTGCCGGTGTACCCACCACATCTGTCAGCCAAGGTGAGATGGACTTTTTCACCTTTGAGGCTGAGCTAGAGGAGACCTACTCTGCAGAACATGAAGTCATGGACTACCTGAGGTCAGCCTTCAGATTCTGCATCAGTTTTCCAACATAAAGAACATTTTCTTAAAGTATAACACTCCAACTCCATCAAGTGCTCCTGTTGAGCGGCTTTTCAGTCTGGGAGGTTTGGTGCTCACGCCTAGAAGAAATAGACTTTGTGACAAGAGGTTTGAGAAGCTTCTGTTAATGAGGTGTAACCACTGGTTTTCTGGCCCCACTCCATTGTTTTACTCATAATATGATTAAAGCCTAACATTAGGCCAAAGAAACAAAAGTAGACTTTAGATATTACATGTGGTGGTGGTGTTATATACTCGTTTTGTAAGACCACTCCTAATGCTGTTCCTAAATGTTAACAGCTATGGATGTTGAGTAAAGAAAGTTTTTTAAAGTATATGTTCAGTGAAGGCAAGTCAAGAGTCAAGACAAACTATTTTATTAGGTCGCGATAAATACCTGCAGCTCTCTCATTTCCAGCTCCCCTACGACAACACACCCACCGGTGAATGCAGTGCGCTTGTTTAGGGAAGTGTTGCTGCCTCTCGCGAGCGCTACAACTACCGCGAGGCTTTGTTTCTTCAGAGACGGCATAGATAGAAAGAGAGATGCGGAGAAAGGTAAAAATGGCCCGGGTTACGCAAGTCTTTGCAAGTCAATTGGCGCAAGTCCAAGTGAAAGTCAGAGTCATTGATGTTAAAGTCCAAGTAGAGTTGCAAGTCTTTTTATATTTGGTCAAGTCGAGTCTAAAGTCATCAAAATCATGACTCGAGTCTGACTCGAGTCCAAGTCACATGACTCGAGTCCACACCTCTGGCACTAATGCTACCAGATATAATGTTAACGACATCATGATAAAGATCATGCAGGGTGAATTTGGGAAAAGTTGGACATTTCATTTAATCAATAAAATTGACTGGGGGAGAAGGTACGGGTCAACATCCAGTTTGGCGATCCATAACTTCTCCAAATACCACTCTTTGTGAGCCCTGACAAGATGTCCTACTTCCACCGACAACGTTATCGAACATGTGCTTGAAGCAGCCACTTCTCGATTTAGGAGGAGTCTCAGTTATTCAGAGTTGTAGTCCGTTTCGCTCTTGCAGTGCAGGCTTCCACTACTTCCGCCGTAGCCTGGCCGTACCACACCATAGCACAAATTACATTTCGTACTAAGGTCGGGAGGTACTCCATTGAGCTCCGTGAACAGGTGGGAGGGATTAACTCCTGCAGATTTGAACGATTGGATCTGAGTTTACCGTGACATATGTAATGCGCCCGAGTGAGTCGTTAGCATTTAGCCTAGCCATCACCTTTGCCGCTAACGGAGCCCGTGGGGAGTAGCGCCACAATCTTTGCCAGAGATTACATTTGCTAAACATTCCTCTTGCTCCGGCTTCAATTTCTTGATAGAACCAGAACCCGAATTCTTTACTATCGCAATCTTCGCCATTGCCAAACTACAACCTTCCCGTTTGGCGCAAACACTTGATGTGTTTAAATGAGAGTACAATAACGACTTGAATGATGCTAATGTTGTCGCAGATCAAAGTTCAACAGATAAATTATTCCAGTCTGACAGAGCTTTAAAGCAGAACGCTCTTTTGCCAACCTCTCTCTTCACCAGTGCAGTTCTAATATATGGTGGAGATAAATTACGGAGAGAATGCTGTGATGTAAATGGAATCAGATTCCGTTTTAAATTGTCAAGAAAGTCACCATGTTTAAAATTATCCAGATATCTAAATTAACCACCACCATCAGACAAACGTAAATATAGATTCTGTAGATCAGGGCAAAGACGTTTGGTAAGAGCATACTGCATGTTTTTTACTGTTCATTACAAAGTTGTGTTGAGCTGGCCAGAGTTGTATCAAGTTGAGATCAGTTTGGAGATAATCTTGAATCTGATTCAGATTTTTCCTAGAACTGTATACTACAGTTTCATCCAATGTTACAGTACACTTTGTAATGACTTTAGATAGGTCATTATTGAAAATAGCAATGGCCCCAGAGCTGAGCCCTGGGGAACACCCCTTTTTTCTTGTGGCTGCCTTTGAGGATGTGCCCTGCCTGGCAACAAATTGTTTCAGACAATGTAGAAATAAACGGAACAAAAGCAACACATTCCTACATTTTAAGAATTGTATTAAATTGACCTCCTGGCCTTAAATGTTGATATAAAATAAGTCATTTTATTAATTCTAATATTACGGGTAAGTCCCGCCTTCCCTTCTCTTAGCTATAGCTCAAAATCCACGATGCCGTCGACTTTAACCAATCAAGTGATGCCAAGGGCTGTCAATCATCGGTGCTCATGCTCGTAGCTGCACGCATGCTCAGTTGTTTGTTTTTACGGAGCCTCCGAATCAAGCCTCCATTAGGCTCTGGAACAACATGAAAATTGAACAAAGAATTCTGAACATCCGCACTGAGTTACCCATTTATGTACTGAACCTATATCCATAATTAGATCCTCTGCAGATGTGTCCTATAATGTTCAATTCATGTTTATAGCTACTTCCGGGTTTGCCGCAATCACTTTTTTTGTGCATTAA